AAAAGTTGTAAAACAGATGCTTATATATTATAACCTTCTAATGCACACACACACAAAAATATATCAGTTCATGCAAAAGAAAAATCAATCTATATGTATACAATATAGTGTAGACCAATATCTACACACACGGTCAAAGTGTATGCTAAATTATCAATATAAGAAATGTCAAATGACAAAGTCTTTCCTGCAAGTTTGCAAGCAAAAATCAAATGTAGACAAAAAAATAAATTTAAAAGTCTTGAACTTTATCCATAAGTTTAATCATTCGGTCTTGTTGTCCACCAGTTCACTTACGTTGTAACACACGCTGTAAGTTAATAAAACAGTACCTCAAATTCAATGTGGTTCACAGTTCACGGTTACTTCACTGTTTACATGTGGAACTTCCGGAAATTCAGCTAAAGGTCACTTCCGTTTGAAGACCATGGCGAATGACGTCACTTTGCGGGAAAACTCCTGGCGGATGAATACCGAAATGGCGATTCGTTCACAGTCGTAGTCGAAGTCGAGCCAAAGTCCCTACATGGGCGCCATTTGTTACCGGGTTCACAAAGTAACAAATATTGTTGGTGTTCCAATCCTTTATATATCCAATATTCAATATTCAATATTCAACAGTCTGAAATAAACACAGACATTATTTAACACACAACAACACACACACATATAAAATACACAAAGAGAGATAACTCTTCTTGTTTCTTAATACTCACTATTCAATAAATATTTCAGGCATAAAAACTATTTCTCATATTAGTATAATATTGAGATTATTCCTACAAAAACTATAATTAACTGTATATGATTTACTTTCTTTGTATATCGTAATTCTTGTAAACTTCAGTGAATAAAATACGACAGCAGATATTCAAATGTAAGTCACTACTATTAATGAAATAGATACGTTTCCCGTTATGATTCACATAGCAATGGAATGTAAATACATAATATACAGACTCACATTACACCTAACATGATACAAACATATACATCACATATCTTACCCAATATATGGTATCAGACCCTTGTTATATATACAGCAATTCAGCTACATGTACATCATATCAAGTGGATCTGAATAATAACAAATATCATAATATACTCTTTACTTATTAATTTATACAAAAAATGATTCACACATTCACTTTTACTATTCATCAAATGAATGTATTTATAATATTAAAATCAACTGACCTTCTATGGATAAATAAAGTCCAAGATCAATATATCACAAGAACTGAATGACCAAACTGATCATTCCAGACTCAATTTGAAAAATAATAATATTAATAGAAACTTCAAGATAAAAATCACATGACTTAAACTTTCAGCCAACCAAAACAAGAATTCAATGATCCATGAAAAACTGACCAGAACTGGTATGGAAATCCATTTCTGACATATTTAAATAGAATGAGAATAAATTTATGGAAAGCTGTTACTGTAAATGATAAATGTTTTAAATTAAATTTATTTTATAATCTGTTAAAATAAATCAACTCACACACTACTACAGAAATATCTTCCAATATCTCCTATATAATCTCTTCTGCAAAATAAAGAACAATTAATATACATATCTGAATCACATTCTGAAATGTTCATTTTGGAGGGCCAAAATTTACTCTTATCATACATGGTCCTTATTTACATATATCACGATACTGTCAACTGTCTAATTTTGATAAAAACACTTCTTGTGAAGAAAAACAACGCCACATGACTCAGGTAAAGCGCTGTCGATTGGCCCATAAATATAAACCCCATCCACTTTTCACAATGTTTTTATATCTTGAAAAACTTTAATGAAATTAAAAGTAAGAAATACAACCAGTGAATTACAAAAAAACGTATATTTCTATGTCATAGTATTCTTTGAAATAAATTTGCATCACAATAATAGGGATCGGGATCGGCATTTCGATTTATGTACACAAAGCCAGATCCGAGATCATTGATAACTGAGGTAATTTCTGTATTTCAAATTTAATAAATATCCATCGATCCGTGCAAAAAACCTGTTCCTTATAAAAATACGTTAATGCAACGATTAAAGATATTAATGTGACAGATGTGAGGAAACTGTTAGTAGGCAGAAGTATTGGCCCAACGGCAAGCGGTAAATCTAGTACTGCTGAGTCCCGACTCTCTCGGTTTTCTTTTGATCACTGTACATGATCGCTTCATACTTGTCAGGCACATTTTTTCCTTTGAAATACATTTATGCATACATAAATATATCAACAATGTTATGTAAAAAAAATATTAATCAAGAAACTTTTAATATCCGAATCTGATTGTTCCGCACCGGACAGCGATTTAAAAAAAAAATATTAAGATAAAATAAAGAAAGAAAATGCTACATTTCACCAAAAAGAATTGCTTCTAACTTGTTAGCAATCTCTCACCAGAGGGCGTATTACGCTTCGCTACAACACCTCTGTCAACGTCTAAATGCCAAGATTCTTGGCAAAACTTACTCTGAACTATTGTATAACAAATTATGAATTTTAAAGTTATATATTTTAGCTTTAAAATTTAAAGAAAAGTTTATGCATGAAAATTAGAAAGAGATAAATCTGTATCACCGTATCTTACATGGGATTATTTCTCGGCGGAATATTGCATCACTCATGTAGACAGATATGGAGAACGTGGAAATTTTAATTATTTAAACGGATTGCCGACAAATATCAACATGGTTTAGTTGCAGCATTGACATATACACAGAAAAGTGATGGTAATACGCTTGTTATTCTTCCTGTGATAAAGGCCACGCGTCTCTGCCTTCCGTACTACTTTTTTAGACGTTGACAGAGGTATAAGTGGAGCGTAGCGGGAACGATAACTCTGGGTAGAGATTGACTTGTTAGGTATACTTGCTATGTTCAAGTTTTTTCCCACACACATAAATAATATTTGCTACATATGATCATGATGATAATTAATCTCAGCGAGATCCGTAGAGAATAAATATTTTGGTCTGGTATCTCTACGGATCTCAGACCAGTATCTCATTCGGGGTTTCATGCCCGGACTTCGACCGCTTGTTTCGATTAATACGGGCTGAAATGAATTAGCTGTCCGCTTCAACTTTTTGCTTTGGACATCCTTTTAATTCCCTATCACCATAAAACTTTCATTTCTTACCTCTGAAAGGTTTAAATCCATCAAAATATAAAGTTGTTGATTTTTCATAGCAATAAGCTATTCGTTTAAACCTCCGATGCTGAAGAGTTCCAGCAATAGTCTGCTTCAAATACTTCGTACTATGGTTCATTTCTATAGAAAAAATTAGTAGTAAGCAAACTGCTCAATTTAGTCAATAAATGCAACCATTCATATCATTTTTAGCTCACCTGAGCTGAAAATCAAGTGAGCTTTTCTGATCTCCTGTTGTCCGTCATCCGTCTGTTCGTCCACCTGTCTGTCTGTAAACTTTTTACGTTTTCATCTTCTTCTCAAGAACCACTGGGCCAATTTTAACCAAAGTTGATACAGAGCATCCCTGGGTGAAGTGGATTTTAAATTGTTAAAATGAAGGGCCAAGTCCCCTTCCAAGGGAGATAATCAAGAAAAGACAAAAATAGGGTGGGGTCATTAAAAAAAATCTTCTCAAGAACCACCAGGCCAAAAAAGCTGAAACTTATATGGAAGCAGCCTAGGGTAGTGTGACCCCCTGGGGTAGAGTGGGACCACAACATGCGATCAAATTTTACATAGGACAACATATTAGGAAAACCTTTTAAAAATCTACTTCTCTTGAGAGCAAAAATTCCATGATGATTACATGTAATCATATTTTTTATGGATGTACCTGCAGATAGTGTTGATTCAAATATGTTCAAAACATGACCCCTGGGGATAGGGTGGGGCCAAGATTGGTGATCAAAGTTTTACATAGGCATATATAGGAAAAATCTGCATCTCAAGAACAGCAAAGTTATACATGTATTTATATGGATACATCTGGAGATTTAAACGGAAGCATCCTTATGTGTTGATTCAAGTTTTCTCAAATCTTGACCCTGGGGATAGATTGAGGCCAAAATATGTGATTAAATTTTTACATAAAAATACATATATCATTAGGGGATAGAAATCTGCTATTGAAACATAGCAGGGCCATAGTGACTCAGGTGAGCATTGTGACCCATGGGCCTCTTGTTAATCTTGGGCTGTTGTGTCAAATATATTGGACCAAGTTGTCTGGGCCAGAGTGTCATAAGGCATAAATGCCCATAGTCCGGGGTATCTGACATTCTAAGAGCAATATGGGTAGTGTTGGACTTCAGAGAAAAAATGAGTCGGGTGATTGAGAAACATAGCAGTCATTTGGAACACTTACATAATAAATTGACGTTAAATGAAAAACTGCCTCTTATGTTTATATTTTGAAAATGGATGTTTTCAAAATAAATGATCAAGAATTGTTTAAAACTTCATATTGAACAAAAATTGTAGGATTATGTTCTTAACGTTTTTGCAAACAAAAATTTCTTTTCATAAATACGACAACTATTTTTTTTTTTTTAATGTTTGCTGAAACACCTGTAGTTGCCTCCCTTTGAGTTCTGAAGTTATCTTTTTCAGGCAGTAAGAAATGATAACAAAAATCATATGGCATACAGTCAGACTATTTTTGATTTGCTTTCATGTTTGATGAAAAATAAGTAAAAATTATCCATTGAGTTTCTCAGAGTAATCCTGTATCTTATGTTCACCCCAGTTCCTGGTATACCCAGAGTGGTTTTGCCCCTATTAATACCTGTTTGAGAATATATGTATTTGCTCCCATCGGTTTTACCCAAACTTAAATTAATATTGTTCTTAAAGTTGAGCAATTTTTTGATTAAATAATGATGAGATCTTTAAAATGGCATAACTAGGATATTTATGAACATACTGAATATGTGAATATGTTTGTTTTATTTTATTTTTGAAAATAAAAATGCAAATAAATTATTTGTTTACTCTGTTGCAGGTTTTAAAGCAATAATTAGGTCATGATATCAGAGTTCAAGAATTAGGTCTTGATGTCAAAGTTCAATAATTAGGTCATAATGTCAGAGGTCAGGACCTGGGATACACCTCATTCTGATGATTTCACAGCTGATAATGAATCCACTGGTATGTATAAAAATGAAAACTCTGTAATACTCTTATTCTTTATTCACTGGAACACGGTATCTCAAATACAAGATGTACAAGGGAGATATTGAAGCTATTTCAATTGGCTGTCCCAACTCCCAACCACTCAGTACTTTGACTCTTGATACTTTGATAACAAGGATGAAGCTCTGTTGGTAGTGTAATATAGTAAAAAAGTATTCATTCTATTAAATAATCTTGTCTGCTCCTTGATATTGAGGAGATAAACAAGTGCAAAGTTACGATGAGCAAAGGTACTTCTAGAATTTTTAAAACTTGTGATCCCAGGACTAGGTGTTCTTGTTTTTTTTTTTTTTTTTGGGGGGGGGGGGGGGGCTATATTGATTACATAGTGAAAATCTTTCATTTCTTGAATTCTTTGAAAATCATCAGCATAGTTATTATAATATGAACAAGAGTATCTCTAATTTCATAACCCTGGGTCATGGGTTCTGGTGTTAGAGTGGGGCTGTGTTGAATCAGTAGGGAAAATTCATTATTTCTTTGAAAATGTCTGCTTCTGGGTTTTTGGGGCAAAATGGGTAAAAGTTTTAATAAGCAAGGGTATTTGTACTAATTTTTCAAAATTCGGGACCATATTGTCAAGTGTTCTGGTTCTGAGCAGGGCTCTTTTCATTTGTATTCTATTGACTACAGAGGGAACTTATTCCCCTTTGCCATTCACCTTTCATAATTAATCACTGTTAATAATGTTTTTGAAAGGTTTATAGAATACGAGAATTATGAATTAATTTTTATTGTTTAATACAAAAAGTATTTTTATAGTTTTATAGTTTTAATTATCAGGCAGATTTGTAATTAATAGATAAATAAAAATGAGACAAAAATAACATCTCTTATTAAATGTTCTTCAAAGACCAAGAGAGGCAAATGTAAGGAGTTTAAAAAAAAGTACTGAAGCACTAATGATTTGTTAATAGTCTGCATGGCGATAGTGATAAATGGGGGCTAGAACTTACCTTATGAGTTGTTACTGAGTACTAGACTAAGTATTTAGTTGATCCTGATCATCCTATTTCTCTTGCTTTTGAGCAATAAAGCTTCATCTCAAAATTGTTGCATTAAACTCAGGTGACCATTAAGGCCCTTGGGCCTCTTGTTAAAAAATTTCAACATCCTCTTGAGAACAACTTGACCATTTTCAACCAGACTTGACACAAAGCACACTTACCATAAAGGGCATTGAAATTTGTTCAAATGAAAGGCCATGTATTGTTAAAATAAATAATTAAGAAAAGGGAAAATAGGATTTGTATTTTAAAAAAGTATTTTTTCTAAAGAACCAGTGGATCAGAAATGAAACTTAAGTAGAAGCTTTCTAAGTACAGTCCTGCCTACCCTTCCATTTATGGTATAATTCTTCTAATTTTTATCACTAAGTTATGCTGTTATGATAGAAAATTTAATTTAATACTTTTATCTTTTTATGCTTTGAAATTAATATTGTATTTTTGCTTATCATCACCACATTTATGAACCTTTCCCATTCTGCCAATGGTTGAATGAGAAGAGTAATAATTAAAAATTGACCAGCCTTCAATTTGTACAATTCACAGCCCCTTCAGGGCTTGAAGTGAGTCTACAGTAGGTAATAAAAGTTGAACATTGTAATCAGGATTCAAAAATTTACATTCAAGAGTAGGAGGGTAAAATGTGTACTAAATCATATCATGTACACAATGCTATGTAGCTGCTATACTCACTGCAAGGTGCCCAAGTACCCTTTAGTGATATTTATCCTATTGGTTGATTGTAACAAAAAGAATTTACACAGTTCCTACATATTATTTATCTTTGTTGTAGAAAACAAACCAACATTCATGATTTCTGACCCTGAGAATGACGAAGAAGAACATCAACAGCAGTTAATATTGAAGGTAAGTCAATATTTTGGACTCTGCATCAAGATGGTGGAGTTCTATAGTAATCATTGCATTCATCTGTCTGTCCATCTTAACAACATACAAAGTTTGCAACAAAATCAACTTTCAAAATGATTGCTAGAATGACCCACATTTTTAATCTGCATTTTTGCATAACTAAATTAGATAAAAGTTTGTATTTACAAAGTGCATGTCCATTTTTATATGTAGGAGTTAACCTGAATATCTTAAATCTCTATTCAAAAATGAAAATCCTCTTTTTTACTGCTTGAATGCATATTTAAACAGACTTTATTAAGGGGGGGGGGGGGTATGGGAATTACTTTGTCCATCTGTTTACTTGACCCTGCAGTCTGGTCTGGGCAGTAATTTTGTAATGAAGAATCATTGAAAACATATTCTCAGTACAATATTCATTCCAAAGGTCATTTCAACAAGCTCAAACTCACTGACAGAAAAAGTAAAAATTTGTCTGGTACACAGCTTCTTAATGGAGAACATTCAAAGTTCAAACTATATACAAGAATTACTTATGACTTGAAGACAAGTCATGATCTTGACTCAAGGTCATTGGATCAAGTTCAGTGTCACTTACAGAAAAATACGTAATTTGGATTATTCCTGTCTTGACCATGCAGGTAAATTATGACTTCCTGGAAAATATCACAGTACATCCTATGCAGTCACTTCTCTGAATTACCAAAATATGACGTCATAATGAAATATGACGTCAAATTACTGCAAACTTGAGTAATCATGATGGCGAGAGTGTCATAAAGTTCACATCTTGTTTCATACCACATGTAGAGGGTTAAAAAGTACATAAAAATTCATAGCCCCTGGGCCAGGGTTCTGTTGTTAGTGTGGGGCTCTGTTGAAACATTATTTCTTTGAAAATCTTCTTTGCTCCAGAGTATTTAGCAAACAAACTACCGGTAAGAGGATGCTTATGATGAGCAAAGGTGCCTCTTCCAAAACTGCGATTTTCTTGACCTCTGGATCTAGAGTCTTTGGTGCTAGTGCGGGGCTCTATCAATTTTATAGTAAAACAAGATGTGTTTGTGAAACACTGATGCCCCCGTAAATTGGCAACTTATAGCAAAGATTAAACTTTCTCAAATGCATATCAAACATGTTGGTACCCAAAATAAGGTTTTGTCTCGAGGAATATACATGTACTTGTGAACTATGAAAGCCCTAGCAGTAACCATTGAATAGATATAGAAAAGGTGAAAGTTTTTCAAAAGTGAGTCAAACATCAAGGTCAAGGTCAAATGGTCATAATTAATGATGCCCAAAAATTTGTCTTCTCAAAAGAAATACACATGTGAAATATGAAAGCCGTAGTACGAATTGTTCAAAAGTTATGGCCAAGGTTCAAGTTTTTCAAAAGTAGGTCAAACTCCAAGGTCAAGGTTAATGGATTACAATTGTCAGTATCCAAAGGAAGGTCTTGTCACAAGGAATAGACATGTCAGATATGAAAGCCCTAGCACCAACCATTCAAAAGTTATGTCCAAGGTTAAACTGTAAGGTCAAGGTCAAAGGGTCAAAGTCGATGGTTTCCAAAGGAAGGTCTTGTAACAAGGATTACATATGTGAAGTATGAAAGCCCTAGCACCAACCGTTCAAAAGTTATGGCCAAGTTATGGCAAGTTTATATAGCCTTGAAGCAATAATTCCGAATGTTCATTCAGTTGTCAAATGCAGCACATAATGACATTGTTTAATTCAGATCTAAAACTAGTTCCTATCTTTCAATAAAAAGAATTGGAGTTTTAGCAATGACCGAAAACGAAAGTAGAGATGCAAAGATAAAGTATTAAATGAATGCTGATTCTTTTTTATGGATGATGTCAAAAGTTTTCATCCAGTTCTAGATTACCATATCTCCCTTTTTCTTGGCGGGGATGTCCACGAAATTTATCGTGATCAATGTAATCATGGAGGTTTGTGGTAGGCGGGAAAAAGCAGTTGACTTATGCCATAAGTGGAAGAGTTAACATGTATGCCTCTGATAATCAATTTAAAAAAAGGAATACCTTACATGTTTTAAAGAACAAAAAAAAATGAGAATGTAAGAGGGAACAAGCTTGGTTTTCTGAAAGTGCTCAACCTAATTTTTTGTTTAGTAAGAATGGTGATAGTGACAAATGGGGGCAAGTTCAGGCAAATACACAGATCTACCTTAAGATTTTTTTAACTTAATACCAGTCTAATTATTTTGTTGATCCCTGATTATCCTATTTCCCTAGTAGAATTCCGAAAAAAGTAGGTTCCAAACACATAAGTAGGGGTGTGTTTGTGTGTGAATTTATCCTTGCATGTAATATCATCAGACAAGTAACTTGATGTAGCAATAAAAGTAATTTCTTTGTCACATTTGCAGAGGGAAAAGGTAGATTTTGCATCCCATTCAAATATTCAAAGAGATGCTGAAAGGTTAAAGGACTGTAGTTCTAATGGAAACCAAACAGAGAATCTAGAAAGACACAGCAATACAGATGTAAGTAGAAAACCTCATGAATGTTACATCAGTAGGAAAGATTCGACTTGTTCAGATCATATTGAGAAACAAGTTTTTTTGAAACATACTGGTGAGAAATCATTGAATTGTAAAGTGTGTGGAAAGGCATCCTCTGACCCAGAAAACTTTAATAGTTACATGAGAACACCTACAGGTAATACGCCTTTTAATTGTGATGCATGTGAAAAGGCATTTAACCAATCAAGTACCTTAAAGAGAAACATGAGGATGCATAAAGGAGATAAACCTTTTAAATGTGAGAAGTGTGAAAAAACCTTCACACGATTGTATGGCTTAAAGATACATCAAAGGATACATACAGGCAATAAACCTTATAAATGTGGTTTGTGTAGGAAGGCTTTCGCAGAATCAGCAGTTTTAAAGAGACACCTGAGCACACATGAAGGTGATAACCCTTATAAATGTGATATGTGTGAAAAAGCCTTCAAACGATTGTATAACTTTAAGATACATAGAAGGATACACACAGGCAATAAACCTTATAATTGTGGTTTGTGTGGGAAGGCTTTCATAGAATCAGCAGTTTTAAAGAAACATATGCGGACACATACAGGTGATAAACCCTATCAATGTGATGTGTGTGGGAAGACATTCTCTGAATCAGGCAATTTGCAGACACATATGATGATACACACTGGTGAAAAACCTTATAAATGTGAAGTGTGTGGGAAGGCATTTAACCAATCAGGTACATTACGGAGACACATGAGAATCCATACAGGTGAGAAACCTTTTAACTGTGAAGTGTGTGGAAAGGCGTTTAACCATTCAGGACACTTACAGATACACATGAAGACACACAGAGGAGATAAACCTTTTAAAGGTAATTTGTGTGGGGAGGCATTCAATGAAAAAAAACTAGGGTAAAGGAACACTTGAGGACACACACAGAGCATGAACCATTCCAGTGCATAATGTGTGGGAAGACATTTAGGCAATCTGCATTTTTAAAGAACTTATAGAAGCACATGAGGACACATACTGGTGATAAACCTTTTAAATATGATAAGTGTTTGAAGGCATTCAATCAATCAAGTAACTTAAGAAACACATGCGTACACATACAAGTGAAAAACCTTTTAAGTGTGATCTGTGTGGAAATGCATTCTCTGAATCAGGCAACTTAGAGATGCACATGAGGACGCACACAGATGATAAATCTCATCTAGGTGATGTGTGTGGACGGACATTCAACAGATCAAATAGCTTACAGAGACACGAGGACACATGAAGGTGATAGCCCATTTAAATCTTATGTATATAGGAAGGCATACAGTCATTTGGTTGTCTTGGAAAGACATGAAGACATGAAGATTCGTCTCAGTGATACACATTATCATGGTGAAGTTATTTTGGAAAACATGTTCAATAGACAAGTACTTAAAATAGGCACCTTACACATATTGGTATATGGGAAAATCTTTTTTCTGGGACACTGGAAAGTTTTTCAACCTATTGAACATTTACAGATTCACTTGAAAACAGGTAAAAGATCGTGATAGATTTGATGCATGTGCAAAAGCGTTCAGAAAGTCAGAGAGTGACAAAATAATACAAGATGTGTGTGGCAAAGTTGGAAGTAATTTAGAAGACAAACACACATGAAAATACATTGGAGAAGAAAATCACTTTTGATATGAATGTGAAAAAGAATTTGTTGTTCAAAGGTCCGTGTTTGCTCTGCTCACAATTTGTATTGTTTGATCTTGATAACTGTTTGTTCGTTCTTTACTGTCATCATTCACTTGAAAACCACAATTGATAAAAAAATGTAACATGAAAATGCATTTTTTTCTATTTAAAAGTACGTGATGTGTTTGGGAAAGAAATATTTAAATGTTGTACAGAAACACAGGGAAAAACGGGAAGGAGAGAAATCTACTTTCTGTGATGTATGTTGAAAAGCATTTGTTGAGTTTCATGAAGATACAAAGAGGTGAAATTAAAAAGTAGTCAATGTAAAAAAAAAAAAAAGCATTTATAGAAATTCATCAAAAACACAAAGTTAAAAGTACACATGAAAGTACATACACTTTTATGTGAAATAGTGAGTGATCTGTGTGGAAAAGAATTTGTTGACAAAGAATAATTATAAGACAAATAAAACACATACCGAGGAAAAACATTCTGCGAGATTTAATTTATTCAAAAGGAACATTTGAATAGAATATGATTATGCTTTAAAATGAACGACCTTTAAAGTGTCATTTGTTTCAGGGCACATTTTGTGAAAAGTAAGCCGAAAATATTACTAGTACATGAATTAATAGTGATGAAATTATGAGTGTATAAAGGTGCAGAGAAATTCAAGGGATGTTCAGAAACACATTAAAAGATGGGAAGCAGAACAACTTGTATATTATGTTGAAAATATGTTTTGCAAAAAATATGAAAAGACATATTTACAGAACATTTAGGGAGGAACAGCTCATTATCAAAATTTGAAATGAGAATTAATAGATATTTAAGATTAATATCTGTTGTATTAAATTAATTATTTTCATCTTGCCAGAATGCATTACAGTAAAACACTCTCATAATGAAGTGCTAGAGACGGACAATTTTGCTTCATTATAAACGTAATTCGTAATATCTGTTAAGTTCACAAGATTTTAAAGCTACGGGGAATGAAAATCACGCTGTAAACGTCAATTCATTATAAGCATGTTTGTTATTAGCATCTTTTCCTGTAATCGCACAGCATTATGTCAGGCATTTTCCTAACTAAGAAATATGAAAGTAAACAAGGTCTACTTTAGTGAAAAAATTATTATTGTAAATGAGATTTTTTACTATAGTTAAGGAGGCTCTAAACAAAAACAAAAAGTGCTTTTTGGATTTGGAGAAAAGCATATCATATACAGGTGTGCATAATGAGACTATTTAGTTCGTTTTCAACATAGGGTACCCGCCTTATTTAAGCAAGAAAAATGTTCAAAGACAATGGACTATTCGTGAACAGAAATCATTGTTGTTTACTTACATTGGGAAAATTAATGGGAATAAAGAATAAAGAACAGTTACTTTTGTACCAAAGAATCCTTTGCATGTTAACTGACTGCATAATTGGGATCAATGACTTTGTTTTGTTATGTGTTTATTCATTTTATTTATTTCTTAATTTGTATTTATTTGTTTAATTTTTTGCAAATTTTTTAGCTCACCTCAACGAAGTTGGGGGAGCTTATGTAATACCCTCGGCGTTGGCGTCCCAGGTTAAGGTCTTTGGAGCAGTTTTCTTTTCAAGTACTTCTATCGCCTATATTAGTCAGAGATGCATGGAGGATGCTTCTAGTGTGTTTCATTGTACCAGTCAAGGTTTAAGATGCTGCAATTTCAGCTAAAGAATGACCAGGTTAAAGTTTTTGGAGCAGGTTAAAGTTTTTGGAGCAGGTCTCATTTCCAAGTAACTATAAGCCCTATATTGACCAAACTTGCATGGATGATACATCTAAGGATGCACACTACTGAACTTGCTTCGGATGCTGGATCTGACCTACATTTTCTGGATGAGTGACTAGGTTAAGGTTTTTGGAGCAGATCTCATTTCCAAGTAACTAAAAGCCTATATTGATGAAACTTGCATGGATGATACATTTAAGGATGCACACTACTGGACTTGCTTCAGATGCAGAATCTGACCTATATTTTCCGGATGAATGACCAGGTTAAAGTTTTTGGAGCAGATGTCATTTCCAAGTATCTATAAACCCTATATTGACCAAACTTGCATGGATGATACATCTAAGGATGTACACTACTGGACTTGCTTCGGACGCTGGATCTGACCTATATTTTCTGGATTAGTAACCAGGTTAACGTTTTTGGAGCAGATCTCATTTCCAAGTAACTATAAGCCCTATATTGACTAAACTTGCATGGATGATACATCTAAGGATGCACGTGCACACTACTGGACTTGCCTAGGATGCTGAATCTGACCTATATTTTCTGGATGAGTGACCAGGTTAAAGTTTTTGGAACAGATGTCATTTCCAAGTAACTATAAACCCTATATTGACCAAACTTGCATGGATGATACATCAAAGGATTCACACTACTGGACTTGCTTCGGATGCTGGATGTGACCTACATTTTCCGGATGAGTAACCAGGTTAAAGTTTTTGGAGCAAATCTCATTTCCAAGTAACTATAAGGCCTATCTGAACCAAACTTGCATGGATGATGCATCAAGGGACGAACAATCTCAAAACTTGCTTTGGATGCTGGATTTGACTTGCATTTTCTGGATGAGTGACTAGTTTTAAGTTTTCAGATAAGTCTATTCCCAAGTAACTGCAAGCCCTATCAGACCAAAATTGCATAAATGTTGCATCTAGGGATGCACACTCCTAGATTATTAGTTAAGTGTGGGACTTTGCCTTACTTAAAGACAACATTCGTTGAGGTGAGCTCTGTAATCTCTGATTACCTATGTTTTTTCTTATGCAATAACTTTAGAATATAGCTTAAGTACACTGCATTATAAGTATATACACTTAAATGGATCTTTACCAAAATCCACCTTCTCGTGTTCATTCATTTATCTCTAATGTTTCAACTATGATTTATCGAATAAGTAACCGAATTTTTTTGTCAAATTTACAGAGGGAAAAGTGGACGTTTTCATTCAATTTACACATTCAAAGTGATGCTGAAAAGTTAAACAGCTATACTGCCATTGAAAATCAGACAAAGGATTTAGAAAGAAACACCATTACATATGCAAACAAAGCAACTCATGAATGTAACATTGGTGGGAATGGTAAAGTATTTAGCCAATCCGCTGCTATTTTGCAGAATCACGTGATGACACATTCAGGTAATAAATGTTTTAAATGTGATGTTTGTGGAGTGGTATTCAAACAATCAAGTAGCTTACACACACACAAGATGACACATACGGGATATAATCCTTTGAAATGTGATGTGTGTGGAAAAACATTCAACTGGTTAAGAAGCTTACACAGACACAAAAGGACACACACTGGTGATAAACCTTTTAAATGTGATGTATGTGGAAAGGCATTCTACCAATCATGTGACTTGGACAAACACATTAGAATACATACTGGTGATAAACCTTATAAATGTGATGTTTATGGAATGGTATTCAACCAGTCAAGTAGCTTACATAAACACAAGAGCACACATAATGGTGATAAACCTTTTAAATGTGATGTATGTGGAAAGGCATTCAACCAATCAGGTGACTTACACAAACACGAGAGGATACATACTGGGGATAAACCCTTTAAATGTGATGTTTGTGGAATGGTTTTTAACCAGACAAGTAGCTTACATAAACATAAGAGAATACATACAAGTGATAGACCTTATAAATGTGATGTGTGTGGAAAGGCATTTAAAGAATCGGGTACCCTAGTGAAACACATAAAAATACATACAGGTGATAAACCTTATAACTGTGATGTGTGTGGGAAGGCGTTCAGCCAGTCGGCTCACTTAAAAACACACTTGAGGACACATACAGGTGACTATAAACACAAAGACAAAACTTTTAAATGTGATTATTGTGCTAAAGCATTCAGCGTAGCAGGTTCTTTACAGAAACACATAAGGATACACACAGGTGAGAAACCTTATAAATGTGATGTCTGTGGAAAGGCATTCAACCAATCCAGTAACTTACAGACACACATGCTGACACACACATGTGATAAACCTTTCAAGTGTGATGTATGTGTTAAGGCATTCTACAATTCAGCTTCCTTACAGAGACATTTAAAGATACATACAGGTGAGAAACCTTATAAATGTGACGTGTGTGGAAAGGCATTTAACCAATCAGCTACCGTACAGAGACACATGCTGATACATACAGGTGAGAAGCCTTATATATGTGATGTGTGTGAAAAGACATTCAAATATTTAACAGGCTTAAAAAGACATTTGAGAACACATACTGGTGAGAAACCTTATCAATGTGATTTCTGTCAAAGAACATTTAGAGAGAAATGGGATTTAAATACACATCTGAGGATACATACAGGTGATAAACCTTTTAAATGTGATGTGTGTGGAAAGACATTCAACCGATTATTTAGCTTAAAGTTACACATACGAACACATACAGGTGAAAAACCAAAGAATTGTGATGTGTGACTGTGGGAAATTATTCACTATTTGATGTAACTTACAGAAAGACATGGTGACACATTCCAGTGAGAAACCTTTTAATTGTGATGTGTGCGGAAAGATGAATCAGAAGCATACATTAAGGACCACTAGAGGATACATGAAGTTCAAAAGCCCCATTTCTAGCTGACCTGAGCTGAAAGCTCAAGTGAACTTTTCTGATCACCCGTTATCCGTCCGTCTGTCCGTACGTCTGTCTGTAAACTTTTCACATTTTTAACTTGTTCTCAAGAACCACTGGGCCAATTTTATCCAAACTTGGTACAAAGCATCCTTGGGTGAAGGGGAGTTTAAATTGTTAAAATAAAGGGCCAAGTCCCCTTACAAGGGGAGATAATCAAGAAAAGACAGTGGGGTCATTAAAAAATCTTCTCAAAAACCACTGGGCCGAAAAAAGTTGAAACTTATGTGGAAGCATCGTGGGGGTAGTGTAGATTCTAAATCATGACCTAGGGAATCGAAGTTTTACATTGAAATATATAAGAAAAATCTTTAAAAATCTTCTCAAGAACCACTGAGCCAGAAAAGCTGAAACTTATATGGAAGCATCCTGGGGTAATGTAGATTCTAAATTATTAAAATCATGATCCCTAGGGTTAGGGCGGGGCCACAATAGGGAATGCATTGAAATATATAGGAAAAAATTTTTAAAATCTTATTCTCAAGAATCACTGGACCAGAAAAGCTGAAACAAATGTGGAAGCATCCTGGTGTAGTGTAGATTCTAAATTGTTAAGATCATGACCCCGGGGGTAGAGCGGGGCCACAATAGATATTACAAGTGGGGAAATCTGGTAAAGAACAGCATGACCAAAGTTACTCAGGTGAGCGATGTGGCCCATGGGCCTCTTGTTTAAGAATGTATCTGAGAAACCAAAGTAATTTACACATTAGGAACATGAACAAAATATTTTCCATCCACTTTTCTTTCTCCAAGAGAAATTTCACAGATGCACATATGTCCACATATATGGCATGGGATGCTCACTCCTACATGGCACCTGGTCCCACCTCTGATGTCTTAGGGGTCAGTGTTTGTTCTGTTCCTATTTTGTAATGTTTAATGGACTTTGAGCTCGAATACTGTTCGTTATCTCCACATATTTCTTGTAAGACTTAAAAACCCTTATAAAATCAATATGGGCAGAAAAGTTCAATCCTAAGATTGTCACCTAAATTTTACTAATTTTTATCGAGCAAAATTTGTGCTGTGCTAACATTGATAAACCTAGAAAAGTCCTTATTCATAGACAGTTGACATCCTGTGAGAATAACTTCAATAAGTCTGAGTAAATAGCTAATTTTATGTATCATTTAAATACAATTGAGTCGAAATTGAAGATTTTCATTTACTTCATTTATTTGTGTGATTGTCCTTAATGACGTTTAGTTGAAATGAATGAAATTAGCTAAAATCACTTGTATATTTTTGGTTTATGCTTGATGTATATTCATATAATTTGTATTTGTTTTAATTGAATGTTCTGTGTTGCTGTTTTTTTTTTCAGTTGATCTTTGACAAATAAATGCGTTGAAGAAAGATGCCTTTTTTTATTATGAAAGAAGATGGGCGAACAAGTTAGTATGATGGCTATCGTTTGAGAAACAAAAAAATGAAAAATTAAATATCCGTGAACTACGATACAACTTTCTTTGATATCTCATTTAGCATTAGTTAATATTTTCTGTAAAATCTCCACAACTTTCGACTATGTCTCAAAGATCAAAATTATTAGTTTATGAAATGGCATAGGTACACAGAAGAGGACAAAAATGATCATTTTTCACACTATAATACAATTTTCGATGTGATAGGATCTTCACCCCCCCCCCTTTTTTTGAAAGATTATATACTCAAGTATGTCTAAAACTTTTCGTATTTCAGTTAACAAGAACATGTAGGAAAGACCTACTAATCCTAGAAATACACTTTTATGACACAACATTGGTTTCTTAATTCTTAAAATCCTCAAGCCAAGGTCATTATACAAACGATATTATACTCCTCGCAAGTAAAGTTAAGGGAGATGTATTGGAATCCGCATCTCCACCTGTCCATCTGTCTGTAGACAGGATTTTGTCCGGACTTGTCCGAAGATTATTGCAGGGATTTTTCTAAAAAATTGTAACACGTTATTCACCGTATAAAGATGTGCACCTGGTTATTTTCATTATGATTGGATAAGTTTCTCTACATTTTACAGGTGGTTTTTTTTTTTTAGTGACTTGGTCATTTTGGGCTCATGTAGATTTGAGTCATAGAACATGTACAATTTAGAAATTGCCAGTTTGTTACACCTGTAAAAAAATATGAAATGTAGCTCGAAAACCAGCACTAAAACTAAAAAAAAAATCAAATGTTTAAAAAAGGATTTATGGTAGATAATCCCTACAAATCTAAGAGTCATGCAGTAGCCTAATTAAAACATATGTTACATCAAGATTACACAGTTCTTTATTTTCATTTTATTAAACTTTGTAACAAAGACACTGGTGTGTGTGTGTGTGTGGGGGGGGGGGGACGGGCTTACACAACGACGAATAAAAAATCAGTATATTTATTTCTCACAAATTCCACAGTTTGGTAAATTTAGGTAAAGTTTATTATCGTTTGCATACAAAATTGATAATGCGTGAATACAGTAACTGCAAAATTGATCATGATTAACAAAAGAAGTATATTTTTTGAAAGAGTGGGTCATCGCTCCATTTTTTGAGAATAATGAAGAGCAATAAAATGTGTTTCTTTTTACATTTGCAAAAAATTGACACGAAGACCCACTCTATATAAGAAATAAAGTTTACTTACCTAAATTTTTGCCATGGTCTTCAAAAATTCTAAGTCCAAATACGAAGAACTGTTTGCAATTTGAATGACCTTGTATATGTTACTGAGTGGTCTGTGGTCAGCAAGGAGCTGCTTAGCGGACGTCTATTGAGGAAAGTGTTCGAATAATGCTCTGACGTTTTATTTTTATTTCTATTTTTTTTAATAGTTTAACTTTATAATTAAGTTGAAAAGTTCCTATAGGAATGAAAAATTTTCAATGCAAGTAAAATATATTTAATAATGAACCCATTTGCTGTAAATTATCTAAAATGCCGGATTAAAATTATAATGAATACTGGAATAAGCAAAGGATCACCACTATCATTTTAAACAATGTTTAAATGTATACGTATTAATAATATCTTCACAGAACGTGTTAACATTCAATATACAGATTACAGAATAGAAGTCACTGCCTGTGTTAGACATTTTGTGGTAGAAAATGAAGGTCTCGTGTTTAGCTTGAAAATGTTTAAAATCTACATATCTTCATTTTGACAAGTCCTGTCACATTTAAATGCCTACATAAATCCGTACAATTGAGATATTTCCAATATACGCACATGCAAAGCTGCAAAATAGGCATGGATATCTGGCTCGTCTAATTCTCGCAGCTTCTTTTGAAAACGTTGTTCTCAACAGAATGACAAATATGCATTTCTATTGTACTGCAGACTCACAGTGCATCACACAGTAGATAGTGTAAATCCATTTGTCCCTTAGGAGTAATGAGTAAATATGCATCCGGTTAAAGATTAATTAATGAGTTCAGTGTGGGAAGCTGTTAGAGCACCTCTGATCAAGCATATGTTAGATTTTTGATTTTTGGATTTTATTAAAACTGAGAGGTATACCTCTCATAGTTAATAACACATTATATATTATATAGTACACAATAGAACATTTCATATATAAAATATAAATTATAATTCTAAATATGAATGTTTTGAACATATTTTATTGAATAAATCAAAAGGATTGGAAACAAGTTCTTACAACTTACTAGTTTCTCTCCTTGAATTTAACAATATGTTATGCCATTGAAATAGTACACAGAAATATAAATTTAAAAAGTGATACAAGTGAAATATCTATTCAATAACATAGCAAATTTAAAATCTACAGGTTTCATCAATAATCTACAGGTTTCATCAATAAATTTATGCACAGCAGCAAAAATATTTGTATTAGTTTGTAAAGGCAAATTTAAATCACCCCATAATAAAAAAAAATTGTGTCAATAGTGACCAATTCGTCAAGTAAAAATAGGCGGTTAAAAAGATGATTCCTCGCGTTTGGATAATTTCTGCAGGCAAAAAAGAAATGATAAACATCTTCATACTTTCCACATCAACATAAAGGACTATTAATGACTAATGATGGAAAGTATGAATAAATATAGCATTTAAAAATCCACGTTTCATTTCTTAATTTATTTGCAAAAAAATGTATATTTTCCAAAGTTACACATTCCCTTTGTATTTGAGCTCAATAAGTGTATTAGTTTATAAACACTTGGACGCCAGGCATAATAGTTTTAATATATACTTTTTTCTCCAAATTTTATATTTTGGGAATTTAAATCACCCGAAGAACAAAGATTTTAGTTTCGTATTTCTAGTCCATATCCCATGAATAGTAGTAGTGACACTAAAGCGTCATATATCAATAAAATACATAAGGTCATCTTTTTCCTCAAATGTACACATAAAATATTCTAGCGATAAAATCACCTGTAATATGTATTTTTATAATTATAGGATCTTAGTGATATGTTTAAACGAAGAATGTTGTCAACAGTTTTGTTCATATGAAGAGCCATGTCCTCTTCCAAGGGAAGATAATTAAGAATTAGTAAAACTTTGATGTCATCTTTTAAAATTTTCCTCTCAAGAACCACTGGGTCAGAAAAAAAGGAAACTTATGTGGAAGCAGTAATGTAGATTTAAGTTTGTTCAAATCATGACCCGGGGTAGGGTGGGGCCACATAAGGCGATCAAAGTTTTGCTCCAGAATATATAAGAACATACCTTTATATCTTTCTTCTCGGGAACCAACGGGCCAGAAGAGTTGAAACTTACCTGAAAGCTTCGTTTTATAGTGTAGAATTAAATTTCTTCAAATCATGACC